TAAGTCAGACATGCAAGGGTGTGATCTGAGGCACTATAAATGCAGGAGAAACTCTCCTTGGATCAGTCAGTGATGGCACCACAGGATTTGGAGAGCACAGAAGACTGCCAGGAGTCTTCCTAGATATTCCTGAAGACAAATACCACCCAACAAAGCCCTGACAACAAGGAACAGGACGGTGCTGGGACACCCGCTCTGCCCTGTTAAAAAACCGAGTGTGCACTATCTGGACAGGATGGTGCCCGAGCAGCCAGCCCAGTGCTGGGCACGCAGGCAGTAGCGAAGCAGGAATCGGTGACCCTGCAGCAAAGCAGAGGAGTGCACAAGCAAACCGATGCCAGTCCTTTCCTAAAACATCTGTAGCTGCTTGCTGGGAGGAGACCAGTCCAATGGACCCTCGAGAGGGCTCTGCAATGGCCAGCATGGGAAAGAAGGGGCTGGAGATCTCGGCGAAGCCAAGGGAAGGGTGATCCCAGAAAGCAGGAGCAACCCGATGGGAATCAGGGTGAGAGCACTGGCCCGAAGGATGGCTGCACCCTCCCCGGGTGGAAGATGCCCGGACCTTGGGAGTGCAGGTGCAGCGGGGTCTGCTGCCCTGCAATGAGGGGAATGCATTTTCAGCAGGGATGCTGTCCTCCGAAACACTCGAGACTAGATCCTTCCTTGCACAGCTGCAGGGAGGCAGCTGTCCGTGCCCCAGCCCCTCACACGTGCCCCATGGGGCAGTAGGAAAGCTCCTGCTCAGCCAGGCCAGAGCCCCAGGGATGTTTCTTGAGGGGCAATTCAACCTGCAGCTGCTTCCAAAACCTGCCCTTGGGGTACTTGGACTTCTCGCCTTTCCACTTGATGACGGTGAGGGCGGCCTTGGCCCGCTGCAGCTCCTTCACCTTGCTCTGCCGGATGGCTTTGTACTGCACGAGGATGACCCGGATGCTGCCTCTCCAGGCCATGTTCTCCAGCCCTGCCTTGAGCTCCAGCAGGGCCTGCGTCCCTTGGAGGACGTAGTTGGGGCTCAGGACGACGAGCAGGCGCCGGCTCTTCTGGATGAAGCTCAGGGTCTCGTCTGTGACAACTGGGGGAAGGGGGGAAGAGAAACACCAGGCTGGTTAGTGATGCGCTGCCGGGCTGGGAATCGCGGCACGTAGGAGACTCCCAAGGGCTGAAGGCAACTCTAGCTCCAGCAGCTAGGACCCACCTCCTTCCCTTTAGCCGGGCTTTCTCTGCCCCTCATAGACACCTCTCTGCTGACCCCAAGATGCCAGCTCCCTTCCCCGTGGCTACCACGCGTTGCAAGGGCAGAGCTCAGCTGTTGCACTTCTTTGCACGTGCAGCAGTTGAGACCATGCTGGACCAGCCCCAATTGACCCTTGCTCTGATCAGTGTGCAAGGGGAGGCTGAGCAAGCCACAGGAGGGAGGCAGGAGGCTTGCAGATGATCACTGCACCAGCTGCGTTGATGCGGAGACATGCCCAAGCAGACCGGGCACTACGGAGATCCCTTGCTCCAACCGGCTGCAGCTTGGGGTGAATCGCTTCACTCTTCTACCCCAGCTCCCTCCCTCTGCAAAACAGGGTGATTATCCTGGAGGGAGGGTCTGAGAGCGGACCTGCCTTTAGGACTGCATTCACCCTACCCCTAAATCCTGAGCCTTGTTCCTCCCCCTGCCATGCCGGAGCAGCTGAAGACCCAACCGTGGCAGCTGCCCCGTGCTTTGCAACGCCGAGCCTCAAAGACACCCCCACAGGACACAGCGGCATGATAGTTTGCAGCAGGTCTGCTTTGATTTCCAGCAGCAGCAAGCTGCTTTGCTCGAGCCACCTTTGCATAATGAATGCAAAGTCCCCCAGCACGCATCTATCCCTCCATCACTGGAGCCTCTGTATTTCACTGACAAAAGACAGGCTCGCGCCCGGTCAAAAAGTATGGTGGAAAATAAAATAACACTGAAGCACAACTTCATTTAGCTGTCAAGGGTGTTTGATTAGTTCCTGTCAGCAAACTCGGCAGGATAATCCATCTCCCACTGTTTCTCTATCAAGGACAGCATAATTCGCTACCTGTGCCACAGATGCACCGCTCCGGAGGCAGGCACCAGCTGCCAAAAGCTACGTCCTGGCCTGCCACGATTCCCTAAGAAGTAGATTAGTTGAATCCCGGTGAACCAGTGATGGGGAAGCAACAGCAGCGTTTGCATATGGCACTACAATTAAAAATGACCTCATCTCCGGCCAGGAAGCGTGGAGCTGGCTCTGGGGGCGGTTGGCGGTGGAATCGGTCCAGAGCGAGCATCCAAGTGACCTCTGCTGAGGGCCTGTATCATTCGGTCAAGCAGGACGTGGGCTACAGCTAGGGTGGCTGGGAAGGGAGAGGCTCTGCAGAGGGAAAAGGGAAGGAAAAAGATGAGCAGAGACGTGATAGCAGAGAGAGAGAGAGAGATGCAAGCGTCCAGGCTTAAATAAGCAAGCGGGAGAACACCCGTGACCTGTTTCCCTTGGAAGCTCATTGCACCTGGTCCAGGGCGAGCTGGGCTCTGCAGTCGGGCTCCCCCGGTTGCCTTGTCTCCAGCAGGCAGACTGCGCTGGCACCACTGCCGATGCAGGGAGGAGGGAGAGGCATACGCTAGGGTGCAGGCTCCAACTTCCAGCATCTCAGTGCCGTGATCCACCCACCCAAATCATTTGCTTCTAAGCAGGCGGTGGCCGGCGCTTTTCCAATGTCCTTTTGCAAGATGCGAGGAGGGCAGCCCTTGCCCCTGCATAGCCTGGGGGTGTCTTTGGAGCATGAGACAGGTGGCTGCAGCCAGATCGCAGGCAGGGGGACCCAAGCAGCTTGGGGACACGGGTGCTTGATTTGGGCACTCGGCTGGTTTCTTCAGCAAGGCAGACCAGGGGCAGACGATCCCAGGGCTGGCGGCAGCCTGGTGCACCATGGCAGCACCCACGGGGGACCAACGTGGAGGTTTCCATTTGTGCACAAACATACAGATCAGACCACAAAGCAGCTGCCCTGCTGCCAATGAGCTGCACAACTCTTGTGCAAGGACCTCCTGCACCCAGCGAGCCACTGCCTAGTAAAGATAGACATGGCCAATACCCGTTGGAGCTCCATTTTGTGACCCTGTTGGTAGAGAGTTTTCATGCCAGGGTCAATCCTGATCCATGTTGATCTTTTATATAAAAAAAAAAAAAAAAGGCAAGGAGAGGGAGGCTGCATCAATGTGCAGGGAGCAGAGCTGGACCGGCAGCTGGGGCTGGGAACAGTATTCACCGCGGGATTTGAATCCAGTTGTGAAGCAAGTCCCTGTCCAGGTCTATGGAGGCCGCGCGCCGCTCACGTTGCAGCGTGGTGCTGTCTCCCTGCCAGCAGGCAGGGAAATCTCCGTGGCCCTTTCCCCCCGGGGCAACTCCTTCCCCCTCTGAACCTCTTCAGCAGGAGCAGCTGGATGGAGCATGCCTCGCATCCCAGCCTAAGCCTCTGCTACGTGCTGTCAAACATAGGTGATCCCAGTGGATGCTGCTTGGAAAGGGCTTTGCGACCCTTGAGACAGAGGCTGCAACGTTGTCGTGGACATGGGGAAAGATCCGGAGAAGGGGATGATGGCCACAGAGAGGGAGGGCAGTTGATAGCCCCTCTGGAAAAGCTGCGTTGCAGTTAGTTTTGGGGGCCAGCGTGCGTCCTCGTGGTGGCACAGATCCGTGAGCGCTGCAGGCACCAAGCAGAGCTGCCCTGCGATCAAATAGCTGTCGAGCAGAACGAGCAGAGAAACGAAGCAAAAAGAGGAGGGCAAGTCCACCTGCTAGTGGACCAACACCAGACAGAAAGGAAAGGGTTAAGCATGCCTTAAAAGTAACCAGCCAGCACCACCTGTCCCGCGCCTGCTTGGGTCCATCATTACTGGTCAAGGGGCTCTCCAGGCCAGCCGCGTGCCGCACCGCTGGAGCTCGCCGGTAACCCTTGTTCGCGGCTTCCACGTGCATCTTTTACTAGGGAGTAGCTGCTCTCTGTCTACGAGCAGACAGATTGCTGTGTCCGACCAGCGGCATTGCAAACCCTGCCTGGTGTCCAGCAATGGGTCTGTGTTGCAAACCCTGCAGAACAGCCCTCCTGCTGTTAGCACCTGTCTAGCTAGCGAGGGATCTGGTAGCAATCGGGAGCTCAGCATGGGGGTGCCTACCCTGCTTCTCAAGCAGGCTTTGCATTTTGCAATGCGTTCCACCATCCCATAGCTAGGCTTCTAGCAACCCCCAGCTGGCTCACGTAAGCCGAGCGTGGGTACGTCTGCGTTACAGCGCAGACACATCCTGAGAGCCCAGCTGGACTCTCGTACGCGATGAGGACGCTGGAGATGGACTGCTTCACCCTAGGGATGCAGCAAACACAGAACCGGACCCTAGAAAGTGATTCCAAGGATGATGCCCAGTGCAGGATGTGACCAGACCTGGTCTCCCAGCTCTGCGGTGCTGGCAGGGGTAGAAGGGGGTGAAAATTGAACATGCATCCTCAGCTCAGCAAATGCACCTGCTGGAGGACACGCGTCAGCTGGGCATGAACCACGCTGCTCACCCTAACGCTGCAGAGGCTGGAAACCCCCCCGAGGACTAGTCCAGACAGTTTCCTTCTGTTTGATCATAATTAGTGTGTGCCCCATGCATGCGCCAGGACCCCGCGGAGGTTATTTGCAAGACCTCTTCCCCCGAGCAGGGTGAGCCCTGCAAACACGCGGCTAAGCAACGAAAGCTAGCAGCTTTTCCAACCCCTGCCCAAGGGTGTCTCACCTTCCTTAAAGGAGGTGGTGTTAGTCATTGTCAGCGATGTGTCCACACCATGCAGGCAGCAGGGACTGATCCTGGTCCAGCCCTGATTGATCCCCCCTTTCTCAGGCTGGCCTGCGTGTTTAGTTGCACGGGGGCTGATGGCTGCGGGATGACCGCAGAGCGCTACCCATACAGCCGGATTTCCCCAGAGCCGTGAGTCGCAGCTCGTCCCCTGCTCATACTCACTTCCCCCGGGGAGGCTGTCCCTGTCGAAGATGCACAGCTTGTAGCCGAACTCGTTCTCCAGGACGCCGCGGAGGGTGAGCAGCACGAACTCCTCTTCCTCGGCGTTGCGGGCATAGGACACGTACACGTCGTACTCCTTCCCATCTGCGCGGGGTCGGGGGGACCGCGGGAAGCAGAAGAGATGTGGGTGTTACTGCATTGCTGATATCCCCATCCACCCTTGCCCTGGAGCCTGCCTGCAAGCGTGTCTCTCGCTGAGCTGTGCTCCACACCTCTTAGCTGGTCTAAGAAAAGGGATCATCTCTGAACCAAGAGTTGAAGAGTTTTGCATTTCTTTCCGTCTCAGACCAGCACAGCTCCCAAATCCATCCCCACATCTCTACTGCACCTTTGCTTTGTGGTTTCAACCCCCCCAGAACACGCACCCTCCTGCCATGTAAGCAGGGGACAATTATCCACCTCGTTATGTTCAGGTTTTTAGCTCCATGGTTTGTGGAAAGAGAAACTTCAAAGACTGTTTGGGATTTTGTGCTTCAGTAAGGACTTCTTTTGTATTATTCCCCAACAAGAAGATTTCTGTCTATAAGGATCCTGCATGACTTAAACACCTACACAAGAAATTCGTCTGAAAGAAGGAGTTTTGCTTAGTGGGAGAGAATGAGAGTTTTCTTTTTTTTTGTAAGATGAAGGGAACTAAGAAAACATATTTTATTTTCTTTATTTTTTTATATATATAAAATAATTTTTATATATATCTGTGTGCATATATGTGTACGTGTGTGTATGCATATATATATATCCACATATACATATATACACATACATATATACATACACACACACACACATATACACACACACATATATATAATACATGTTTTATTGTTTCTCTCCATCTTACAAAAAAAAAAGAAAACCCTCATATTATGGTTCAGATAGGCAATGTCCTGCCTCGGGCAGGGGTTGACTGGCTGACCTCTGCAGATCCCTTCCAGCGCCACTTCTCTTCTCTATAACATAGAAGCAAAGATCCTGGCCCAGAGTCCTGGGACACGGGTTCAAGGTCACATCAGAAGCCAAGGACAGATTTAGGATTGAGACACTTGGCCCCAAATTCTGTCCTTCAGACTGAGTCCATCCTGTCCCAGCTCATACACGCACACATGCCCCACCTAGGATCCTTGTTGATCAGCCAACAGAGAAGGCCAGGACTTAACGGGAAACCAAAGAGCATCTCCCTGTCCCTTGAAATCAACTTGTTCTGGGTCATTTCCCTTCAATCCTGTGAAAGACTCCTCCAGCCTCTGTGACGGGCTCTTCTTCCTACCATTCGTTTCACCCATTTAAGCATTTGCTTCACCCATTTAAGCAAGGGTTACGGGGGACAATAGATGGATAGGAGCCAGCAGTGTGCCCTCATTGCCAAGAAGGCGACCAGCATCCTGGGCTGTGTTGGGAGAAGCGTTGCCGACAGATCGAGGGCAGTGATTCCTCCCCTCTATTCAGCACTGGGGAGGCCACATCTGGAGTCCTGTGTCCAGCTGTGGGCCCCCCACTACAGAAACGATGTGGACACAGTGGAGAGAGTCCAGTGGAGGGCAATGAAAATGGTTGTGGGGCTGGGGGACAGGACTGGTGAGGAGAGGCTGAGGGAAATGGGCTGATTGAGTCTGGAGAAGAGAAGACTTTTTTTTTTTTTGGCAAACTATGAAAGACTGAGGGGGATTGAATAGCAGCCTTCACCTCCCTGCAGGGGGGCTGCAAAGAGGATGGAGCTGGACTGGTCTCAGTGGGGGCAGATGACAGAAGGAGCAATGGGCTCAGGCTGCAGCAAGGGAAGTTGAGGTTGGATATTAGGAAAAAAATTCTCACAAGGAGGGTAGTGAAGCACTGGGACAGGCTCCCCAGAGAGGTGGTGCAGTCTCCATCCTTGGAGGTTTTGAAAACCCAGGTAGACAAAGCCTTGGCTGGGATGATGTAGTTGGGGCTGGTCCTGCTTGGAGCAGGGGGGTGGACTGGATGTGACCTCCTGAGCTCCCTTCCAGCCCTCATTGTCTATGGTTGTATGAAAACTGTTAAGAAAAGGCAGGGCCCTATCTCTGAAGAGGGTAAAAAACAGCCTGCAGAGAAGTCTACACACAGCACCATGGGGTCCAGTGGCTGGAAACGATTGCTGCGATCCCCCAAAGCCCTTACCTAGGATGGTCTCGTCGGTGCCAAAGTGAGCCCGGTAGAAGAGGACCATTTCAAGCCAATACACATGGTAGATGACTATCAGGACCACGACCAGCAGGATGGTAGCTCCCAGTCCACAGGCCAGTTCCACGGTGTACCTCGGAGCTGCAACTGGGTGGAAAACACAGACATGTCTTTTTTCAGTAGTGTGTATGGAGCCGTCTTTCAAATAGGCATGGGCCGGGGTCATGCCGCGAGCAGAGCATGAGCCTAACTGCAATTGGAGGCTCTTACAGGAGGTTCAAAGCCCAGGCAGAAAAATGTATGTGTATATACACAGTACATACACACCAATATTACATACATATTTATATATACATACACATGTGCATGCACGTACAATACACTCACACACATGTGCATCTGAGTGCGCATGCACTCAGCCCTGAGGCAGTTTCAGATGGAGGGAGTCACAATGTAAGGAAGAAGCCCAGAAGAAGTGAAAAGACCTTGAAGACCCAATTCTTCCACCCTTCTCACGCTGAAGAGGGGTCAATTCCTCCCCAGATCTCCCAGGAACATGAGCAGAAGCCAGGGGAAAATTTCCAAGTCACAGTTTGTCAGAGGCCCAGCTCGTGGGCCAATCCTTTGGGTCTAGCCTCGCCAAAATACGATAATTGTGAAATCTGGGAATAAAACACCACCCTGGATGCATCATCGCAGCAGTTATCACCGCCTGTCCAAACCAGTAGCAGAATGACTGGCACCCTGGCTCCCATCACACCAAACAACAGATCTTTTAGCTAGTCCCAGAGTGGTCTCAAGTAAGTCTGTAGCCCAGACGAGACACTTTCTAGAAGATCAAAATGTCTGACCAGGAGTCTTACCTGCTTCCAAATTAAAACACAGGTAAAGGAGACCTTATGCAGAAGCCCATGCTTGCTCCCAAGAGTCACTGACGTGCCATTAGCTTTTTTCCTTACACTTGGAACAGGAAAAAACCTGCCTAGCGTCTCTGGGGAAATACTGAATTGTGAATAGCGATGCTTGCAGTAGGCGGCATGCACGTCGGCAAACTGAATAGAGATTACTACAAGAGAGCGCATCGCAAAACTCCTGGATTAACTGTACTTTATTATTTGCAAACACACCGATCACCAGACAGAGACAATTGAAATGGAAAGTATTCAACAGGTCCCAGTTGGAAGCAAGCGACACAAAAGATACAGGAAAGAAAGAAAGAGAAATGAATATTGGTAGGGAGCAAGGGGAAATTTTTCTTCTAGCCAACATAAAAGAAATCTAAGCACGAGCACACGGACATAGGAGGGGAACAGGCTTAAGGAGCTGGAATCGAAGTGCTGGTTTGCAGCTAGCTGATTTTAGCTTAGGGTGGTCCTGCTAGCAGTGGTGTGGTCTGGTTCTTGCAAACTGCTGTGAAATGCAGCAGAAACCCCCCAAAAAGCGGGGGGGCATTTAAGTCATTTGTCCACTGCAAGAGCATCTCTCAATCGCCCATCCCGGGGTCTAGAGAGTCGCTGAGGTGGGATCCTAGATGGTGCCTTTCTAAACAAGCAGCCTGCATGCTGCAGCCCTGCATCCTGCTAGACCGATGCACTCGATCAGCCCAAAAAGAGCAACGGTAGGAGGCACTACCGTGCTGAGCGACGTGGAGAAAAAGCTTAATATGGCCCAATAGCTCTGGCCTTCATTAATTATCTGCCCCTTCTGATGGGCTAAAAAAGGCTGCCTTGAGTGGTCGGTTCTGAAAAGGGGGGGAAAAAACAGAGCAAGGCACCGATCCAAACCATCTTAAGACAGGAAGGTTTTGGTCCTTACACTCCCAGCCACAGCAGAATAGCTGGGGAGCCACAAAAACACAGAGCAGTGGGGCTGGAAGGGACATCTAGTCCAGCCCCCTGCTCGAGGCAGGATCATCCCCATACAAGCCACCCCTTGCCTAACCTATTCCCACAACAATACGGTCAACCCTGTCACACAACTAAGAGGCCCGTGGCCTGCAGACACCAAAAGCTTTCAAACTGGCTGCAGGTAAAGTCAGGGACAAGGGTATCCCAGTGCTGTTAAAATGCACTTGAGACCCCCAAGGAAGAGGGCTGTGCCCCCCATTTCAGCATCTTCTCAATAAAGAGGTCTGTAAACCAGAGGGCATAAGATCCTAGGGTCAGTGGGGCCAGCTCCTTGCACGAATGCTACTCACGGATCACAGCACAGAAGGGGCACGAGTCTCCTCCCTGTGCTGCTGCGTGATGGGATGATACGCCAGGAGACAAGGCGCCTCTAATGCAAGCTGGGACGGGGTGGTCCGGGGGTCTCTTGCATCTGAAATGAGCCATGCAAAGGGCAGGCTCCTCGGGTGGGTGTCCTGCAAGGGCTCAGCCTTCCCAGTGCACGGGGGGTTTCTCTGGGCTCCTGTGAAAGGAGCTGCCAACCACCCAAGGTCAACAAGAGCATCTCCCAGCCTACAGAGACCTCAGGCTGATGCATGCCGAGGAAGGGATCGGGTCCGGCTGTTGCCAGAGTCAAAAACCGCTCTTCCCTGGAAGCAGGAGCAGCTGGAGAGAGAGGAGGGAAGGTCCCTGATCTTAATGTAGCTCTTCATTGCTGTTGCATTGCATTACACCAGCAGCCCTGACTGCAGCACTCATCATCATCATCATCCCCGGGGCCTGAAACAGCGAGCCTGTCCGGTTCCCTCGAAAACACCAGTGAGGAGGAGCAGATGCCTTCACGCAGCCAGTTCCCAGCTGGGCTTATCCAAGGAGGCTGACCATGAAGGCTTGTCAGACCAGCAGCATCCTTAAGGACTCATCTTTGGACTGGGAGCAAATTATGGGGGGCCGGGTCGGAGAATGGCACCAAGGTATTCAAAAGCAACAGCTGCCGTTTGCAGCCCCCATTTCCAAAGCAGCTGCAGGCTTGGAGAGGATGCTCAGCCGGCCCTCAAGGGATGGGTTATCAGTTCTGACAACCCAATAAAGCCTGATTCAGGGGCCTATTCTAACAGATGTCAAACAAAGGGAGCCCCCCCCCCCCCACAACACAACTAGCCCTCCTGCTTTCATGAGGAGGCTGGCAGCTCTGGTTGGAAGAATATCAGCTTCTAGCCTGTCTTGAGGCCTCGGTGACCCTCTTGCAACGCTG